TTTTATTTTTGTCTTCCACTCTTTTTCTGCCCTCTCTGGTTTTAATTGAACATTTTACATGATTCTATTTTCTCTCTTTATTAGTATGTCAATTATACTCCTTTTTAAATTTTTTCCAGGGTTGCCCAAGAGTTTGCAATATACATTTACAATTAATTCAAGTCCACTTTCAAATAACACTACACCACTTCATCAATAGTGCAAGTACTTCATAACAGAGTATTCCCAATTCCTCCCTCCTGTCTCTTATAACATTTCTGTCATTCATTTAACTTATCCATAAGCAATAATCATCTAATACATTGATGCTATTATTATTTTGATCAAACTGTTATCTGTTAGATCAGTTAACAATAAGAAAAAATAAAAAATTTTATTTTACTTTCATTTATTCCTTCTAGAATGCTCTTCATTGCTATATTTTGATCTCAGTTTTTGACCTGTATCATTATGAATAATATACACACACACATACACATCAACTTGGATAAATATAAGAAGCATAATGATTAATTTTTTTTTCGTGGCAGGTTCAGACCTTTAATATAGGGGCAATTAGAGTTGAAAAGCTTACAAATGACTATATTATTAGAGAATAAAGACATTTGTAATAAAAGTATTGAAATACACAGCAGATATATATACATATAAAATTTCCTCTGGGAAAAAAAGAGAATGAGAACTTTGTTATAGTTAGGTGTTGTTGAGTCGGTTCCGACTCATAGTGACCCTATGTACAACAGAACGAAACACTGCCTGGTCCGACACCAGCCTCACAATCGTTGTTATGCTTGAGCCCATTGTTGCAGCCATTGCACCAATCCATCTCGTTGAGGATCTTCCCCTTTTTCACTGACCCTCTACTTTACAAAGCATAATGTCCTTCTCCAGGGACTGATCCTCCCTGATAACATGTCCAAAGTATGTAAGACATAGTTTTATCATCCTTGCTTCCAAGAAGCATTCTGGTTGTCTTTCTTCCAAGACAAATTTGTTTGTTCTTTTGGCAGTTTATGGTATATTCAATACATTAAATATTCTTCACCAACACCGTAATTAAGTAAATGAGAACTATAGCACTACTTCATTATAAAATACTAAAAGAGTATATATACTAAAACTTTACTATCATCTTCCTCTATCACTTTTCTTGGTGTCTAATAAAACTTAAATTATTATTAGTCTGAGCCCTTAAAAAAATAAAATTTGACACTGACTTGTATAATTTCGAAAGCACAAATTTATAATATGTTTATAGCTTTCTCAAGCTAAATGGAAGTAAGAGTAGATGATTTAGTTACAGATAAACTAATTAGACATAGACCACTTACTAGACATAGACCAGTATATTTGAAAGAAAACTATATTATCACCTTTGAAAATTGTCCTTCACAATTTTAGAAGCACATGAAGTGGCTTATTGAATAAGAGAACAGTAAATTTTCATATTATGAATATTACAACATAAATATCAAAAAGGAAAATCCTAGAAAGCTCTGTCTAATGTTATTTTAACTGAATAGAATTCATTCCTTGGCTCAATTAAAGCAGTGCAAATGGGAGACTGTTTTGTAATGGGACTTTGTCATCATTACAAAAATGATCTGGCAGGGCAGACCAAACTCAATGTTTGAATAAGTCAATGTATATTGTAATAAGTATGAGCATGTTATAGAGCTCATATTGTTATACAGTTTTTACATTCTGACTAGAGACACAATACACACCTAGGAAGGTTTCCAAAATTCCTTTCCCTTTTTAATAGCAGTGATTATCTTTTTAATTACAAAACATGTGCAATGTGTGCAAGTAATCAGCTTGCTCCCTCTGGGAGGTCTTATTCTGAATAATTCTTTCAAAGCCGCTTATTATGTAGCCTGCCCATAGAGGCAGGGTTTGGTTCAATTGCCATCAAAGTTTGGTTGATAACATCAAGGAATTTCCAGAAAAGCTACAACTCCTGGAAAATGTCTTGAAAAGGAATTTAGTATGGCATGTGGGCTTATTGAACTCTTCAGAGAAAACGGTTTTAACACTGCAAAGAATTTTAAGCATTATGGCCTCATGGAATCCAATTAACTTATAATACACAACTGTATAATACACACTTACATGCTTCCTTTCTAATGAGACCCTATGTGACATACAATTAAGTTGTCTTACAAAAGGCATTTTCCAAAGTAACTACTTCAATAACTTGATTATAGTAACTACAAGGCACTGGCTTTTCAGACAAAACAGATGCCCACTGCTCATGGTTAGTTCTGGTCTCAGGAAGCAAAAGGCTTCAGCCTAATTGCCACTGCTGTGGTCTGTGGTGAAAGAGAGTAAGTCTTGTAAGAGCCTTGAGAGTTGAATGGGTTCCTTTCTCTCCTGTCCCACAGAGAGTGTCAGACTTCACATACTCAAGATCTTTCTTTTCATTGTGGTTAAACGAACTGAGCTAAACTGATGAAATCTCAAAATTGCATGATTTTACTCTTCTAATCTTCTATAGATTCTTCAGTTTGAATACTCTGATCTTCTCTTGGGTGATATCACAGCTAAGTGCACAGCATTTGTATTCAGGGTGACTTGATTTGTAATCCTAGCTCCACCATTTACTAGCACTGTAACCTTGAACTAGTTACTTACCATCTCCAATTTCTCATTTTCCACAGCTATAAAACCAAGATAATGACATCAAATTTGGTTGAGATTATCCAGCAATTCCACTCCTTGGGCATAGACCCACAAAACTTGAAAGCAGAGACTCAAGCAGAGACTTGTACACCAATGTTTATTGCAGCACTATTCACAGTAGCCAAAAGGTGGAAACAACCTACCCGGCCATCAACAGATGAATAGATAAACAAAATATGGTACATACACACAATGGAAGTAACAGAAACGGAGTCTTGATACATGCTAAAATATTGATGGAGCTTGAAGACACTATGCTGAATGAAGTAAGTCAATCACAAAGGGCAAATATTGTATGACCTCACCTATATAAAAAGCCAGAAAAGGCAAATGTATAGAGACCAAAGTTTATTAGTGGTTACCAGGGGCAGGAGGAAGGAGAAAAGGTGGTGTGGGGTAATGGTAGTGAAAAACTTGCATTTATTAAGGGTAGAGTTGCACAACTGATTATTGTAATTGTATCAATAAGTTGTACACCTGTAAAAAGTGGAATTGGCAAAAATTGTGAGATAGATATATTTTCAACAATGACAAAAAAAACAAACAAACAGTAGCTGCTGAGGATGCTTATGTACAACCAAATAGCTCATGGGATTTGGTCCCGTGGTTTGGATGTTTAGGATCATAGTTTCATGGGACACCCCAGTTAATTGGCCTAATAATATGTTTAGTACCTCTGTCCTACCACCTAGCTTGTTGTGTAGTGCCTAGGGTCTTAAAAGCTTGCAAGCAGCCATCCAAGGCATGACAGTTGGTTTCTGTTAGTGTAGAGCAACAGAGGAAGAAGAAGAGTCAGGATTAGGAGGAGGATATGGAATGTGTGGCTAATTGCCTCCATGAACAACTGCCTCCTTTGTCATGAGACCAGAAGAACTAGATGGTATCTAGCTACCATTACTGAACATTTGATCAAAATTTCTATAGGAGAATCCTGATCAAAAGGGGGAAACTTCAAAACAGAATTTCAAACCTTCATGGACTCTATATTTTTTGGCGCCATGGAGGCTAGATGAACTCCTGAACTATCGCCCTGGGATAATCTTTAAACCTTAAACCAAAAGTATCCCCTGAAGTCTCTTAAAACCAAACTATAGTCTAGCTTAACTAGTCAACAATGTCATCCTTGCACATTATGTTCTTTTAAGAACTGTATGGAACCAAAGTGACAACAGCAACTCAAAGGATTAGATAGGAACCTTAGGGGGCAGTGAATTTATGTTAATAGGTGAGGAACAACTCAGAAAGGAGGGTGAGTATCGTTGCACAACTCAAAGAGTGTAATCAATGTCACTAATTGTACATGTAGAAACTGTTGAACTGGTGTATGGTTTGCTGTGTATATTCTCAACAACAACAGTAACAATACCAACGGGTAGAATCTGAAAGAAATCTGATATATATATATATATATATTAATTATTGCATAATTTCTCAAAGTTCCAATTTAGGCCTGGTTCATTAGTCACTTTTTTTCTTCCTTCTTTTATAACCCAGTGGTGGGAAAATGAGGCAAAATAGTGTAGAGCATGGTCTTTAACTTTTTTATGAGAATGAACGTTCACTGTATGCTGTAGTTGTTATATGTAGGTATGTAGGCTTACTGAGTGAAATTTTTGCTTATTGTCGTATCTATGTGGTGGCTTAATGTTGCTACGATGCTTGAAGCTATGCCACCAGTATTTCAAATACCAGCAGGATCACCAATGATGGACAGGCTTCAGAAGACCTTCCAGACTAAGACAGATTAGGAAGAAAGAGCTAGTAATCTACTTCTTAAAATTAGCTGACCAAAACCCTATGGATTACAACAGAATATTGTCCGATTTAGTGCTGGAAACTGAGCCCCTAGGTTGGAAGTCACTCAAAATACACAGTGGCCACAACAGTGGAATTAAGCATACCAATGATCATGAAGACGGCACAGGACCAGGCAACATTCTGTTCCGTTGTACATGAGGTAGCCATGAGTTGGGGCTGACTGGATGGCAGCTAACAACAGTACTTAATTACCCTGACATTTGTTTTTTGTTTGTCCCTCTACTATATTAATACAGGTTTAATGAGATAGTGAACTTTGTTTGGTTCTCTTCTGTGTTTCCTGCACCTACTACACTGCCTGACATAAAATACATGTGCAATAACGATCTCTTAAGTAAATGACTGGATGAATAAAAACTGATTATGCACAAATCAATGCAGAACATAGTTACAAGCTGTGCAAATTCCAGAGAGAAAAATAGAAATCAGGTACAATATTCATTTATTGCAGATAAAGGGATAAAAGCCTTAAGGGAAACCAGATATCAGTATCATTAGTCTTAGTGGTGCTGCCGGCAGTCTTTAAACAAAAACTTCCTCCCAAAGATTTTCTTCAGAGCCAACATCACTTCTTTATTCCTAAGAGTGTATATCAGTGGATTCAGCACTGGGGTGACTGCACTGTATATGATGGCCACCATCCGGTCCTGAATCATGGTGGAAGCTGAGGCAGGACGAATGTATGTGAACCCCACAGTTCCATAGAAGAGACAAACCACCACGAAATGGGAGGCGCAAGTGGATAGAGCCTTGTGGAGTGCACTGCAGGACTGGTGCTTGAACAGAAGGAAGCCAATAATGTAAAAGTAGGAGAGAAGAGTCAGGAAGAAAGCTCCGATGGATATGCTGCCTGTGACAATGGAAAGAAGCCGTTGATTGAGTAGTGTGTTGTTGCAGGCCAATTCCAAGAGGGGCTTGACATCGCAGAAGAGATGATTAATTTTCTGAGAGTTGCAAAAGTTCAGGCGTGCAGTCATGACTGAATGCATCAGGGCATAAAAGAAGCTGGTGAGCCAGGCTACACCTACCAGCAGAGTGCACACCTGGAGGTTCATGATGACCATGTAGCGGAGTGGGTAGCAAATGGCCACAAATCGGTCAAAGGCCATAATAGCTAGTAAGATGGCCTCTGTGCTTCCCAGAAAATGAAAGAAGTGGAGCTGAGCAATGCAGCCTGAGAAGGATATGGCTTTCTGAGAAGAGAGGAGGTTTATAAGCAACTTAGGCAGTGTCACTGAAGAGTAACAAATATCCAGACAAGAAAGGTTTCCCAGAAAAAGATACATAGGAGAGTGGAGTTTGGGCTCCAAGATAATAATCACTAATACAGCTCCATTTCCAAGTAAATTTATCAGGTAAATGATGAAAAATATCACAAAGAAGAAAGGCTGTAACTCCAAAGCACTGGTCAGAACAAGTAAAAGGAACTCATTCACTGTAGTGACATTCTCCATTGTTTGGGGGAGCAAATATAACAGTAACAAGGAGTTAATTGTTCTGAAATTTTAAGTTAACACTGTGAGAGTTAAGTGAAGCAAGTTTACCATTTGAAAGCACCTAGGGATGAGTTGGCAGCGCAGTGGTTAAGTGCTTGACTATTAACTAAAAGATCGGCGCCACTCCACGGGAGAAACATGTGGCAGTCTGCTTCCATAAGATTTACAGCCGTGGAAATCCTATAGGGCAATTCTACTCTGTCCTATTTAAAAAAAAAAAAAAAAAAAAGCTATCAAGTTGGCTTCAATTGCAACAACATATCAAAGAATCCACTCGATTGCAATGGGCTTGGTTGTCTTTTGGTAGGGATGAGGTACAGTGTAAAGAATGATTAACAATGCTAGACGTAAATTTGCTTAAGACAAACTTAAGACTGACATAATGATAAATGCTGAACCGGTAAAATGATATTAGACTAACAAAAGCAGCATATTATAATAAATCAGAGAGATATAAAGAACATGTGACCATAACCTTATGTTTTACGTTAGTAGACAATTTTTTTTAATATTTAGAATTTTTAATTAATTCTTTAGCAAAAGGAATAGGTGTTCAACTTATAAAATCTGTGTTCTGGCAGACAGATCTAGCCTAGTGGAAATTTCCCCATTTCCCCTAAAATGCATAAAGCAACAGTAGATTAAAACAACAACCTGCCAACCTAAGACTTCAGCGAAACCAAGAGACACAAAAACTAACAAACTTCAAAGAATAGACAAAAAATAACAGCATAATCTAAGAGTCACAAGACTGTGCTATGGGGTGAGGTCATAGATGTAGTTGGGAAAAACCTGGAATGGTGAGAGGTCCTAACAATATGAGAACTTTAAAAACATCTAAAAAACTTTCAGCCCCAGAAAGAGAGTCCCCCACAGTGAGTGGAAGTTTCTACAGGGAAAATAAAACAACAAGGCATAGCACAAGCACTCTGGGATATAAAGCGAAAAGGCATAGTATGTGTAAAGAGAACAAAGGAAGCATTGCCATTTGTAAAAGAAAAGAATTATCCCTGTATCAACAGAAGAGGGAGCTCACGAGCTGAGGAATTAGAAAAGCTACCCTTATATTCCCCCATCCAACAACACCAAGGTTCCCTTGCTAATAATCAGTCCAGAACATCATAGTTCAATGTCAGCTCCCAATAAAATAGCTTCAAAAGTTGACAGAAATAAAGAAGAAATAGTCAAATCCACAATCATGATTGAAAAATCAGCCAAAAAGTCAGTAAGGATCTAGCAAATCTGAACAACGTGATTTATAAATTTGACAAATTAACATGTATGGAATACTGGACCTGAACAGAATTTACATTATGTTTAAGTGCACACTGAACGTTTACAAAACTAAGCATATGCTGACTATTAAAAAAAAAAAGCTACAAAATATTTCCAAAGATGAAGCCATTCAAAGAATGTGTTTTGACCACAACAGAATTAGAAAGCAATAACTAACAGGTACCCAGAAGCTTACTTAGTGTTTGAAATTAAGGAATACACACCCAAATAATTCATGGGCCAAAGCAGAAATCAAAAACAGAAATCAGAAAATATTTTGAACCGAATGACAGTGAAGATAAGACCTATCAAGGCTTTCAGCATACAGCTAAAGTGATAAACAGAGGGATAACTGTTGACCTTAAATTCATATTTAAAAAAGAAGAAATGTTGAAAATCAATAGCCTACACTTCCATTTCAAGAAGCTAATAAATAAATAAAACCAGTAATTTAAATGTAAAGAAAGTAGAAGGAAGGAAATCATAAAAATATTAATCATTTACTATTGAAATATAAAACAGATGTGCAATAAAAAAATTAAAAGATAAAAAATTAGTGTAAGTGATCGACTTCAGCAAGACTGTTAGACAGCTAAAGAAAGAGAAAAGAGACAAACTCAAATTACCAATTTAAAAAATAATATCACTATAGATCCTGTCACTGTTAAATATTATAAGATTCTTATGAACAACTTTACACCGATGAATTTGAATTCAAGTGAAATTGGAATATGTATATTGTAATATTCACGAAACCACTATAAAAATTATACGAAGAGATACAATTAAAAACACTACAAATAAATCAAGATGGAATCCTAAAAATGTTCAAGTAACCCACAGGAAGGCAATAAAAGATAAACAGAGAAATACGAACCAGAGGAAACAAACAGAAAACAAGTATTAAAGTGTCAGGCTTAAGTTCTAATGTATCAATAGTTACCTTAAATATAAATAGTCTCAACACATTGATCAAAAAACAGAGATAGCAAAGCTGATTAAAAAGAAAGCATGATGCAACTATGTATTGTTTCTAAGAAATTCACTTCAAATTTAGCAATATAGTAAGTCAAAAGTGAGAAGATTAAAAAAGATATATCATACAAATATTATTTAAAAAAAAAGCAATGCCTAAATTAATATCAAATAAAGTAGTAGATTTCAAATAAAGAAAATTACCAAGGATAAAGAAGGACTTTACACAATGATAAAATAATTAAATCACCAGGAAGACATAACAATCCTAAATGTGCATACACCAAATAACAGAGCCTCAAAATACACGCAGCAAAAACTGAGAGCTAAAAGGAGATATAACCAAATCCACAATTATTGTTGGAACCTCAACACTCTCCTCTCAGCAACTGCAAGAACTATGTCATGGAATGAATTATGTCCTCCAAAAAATACATGTGTAAATTTGGCGGGGCCATGATTCCTGGTATTGTGTGGTTTTCCTATCTGTTGTAAATCCTGCCTCTATGATGTTAATGAGGGAGGATGGGCTGCAGTTGTGTTAGTAAGGCAGGACTCAGTCTACACGATTGGACTGTATCCTGAGACAATGTCTTGAGATATAAAAGAGAGAAGTGAGCAGTGAGACAGGGGGACCTCATACCATCAAGAAAGCAGTGCTGGGAGCAGAGCGCGTCCTTTGGACCAGGGTCCCTGCGCAGAGAAGCTCCTAGTCCAGGGGAACACAGAAGAGAAGAAGGCCAACAGAGAGAAAAAGCCTTCCCCTGGAACTGACCCCCTGAATTTAGACTTTTAGCCTACTTTACTGTAAGGAAATAAACTTCTCTTTGTTAAAGCCATCCACTTGTAGTATTTCTATTATAGCAGCACTAGATAACTAAGACAAACTATTAGACAGAAAATCTGCAAGGATACAGAAGATTTGAACAACATATATAGGACATGCAGGCCATACTCACCAATATAAATCATAAAACAAATCTCACTCAATTTAAAAGAATTAAAGTCATACAGAGTGGGTTATCTAATCATAATAGAATGAAACTAGAAATCAATAAGGGAGAGACAATAGGTAAAGCTCTATGCGGAAATTAAACAACACACTTCTAAATAATCCATGGGCCAAAGAGGAAGTCTCAAAGGAATTTTTACAAATACATACAAGTGAATGAAAACGAAAATACAACATATCAAAATAGGTGGGATGCAGCTAAAGTAGTGCTGAGAGGGAAATGTACAGTACTAATGCTTACATTGGAGCCCTGGTAGCACAGTGGTTAAGAGTTAGGCTGCTCAGTAAAGAGAATGATGAAAAGGAAATCAGAAAAACAATACCATTTATAATAGACCCTAAAAAAATAAAATACTTAGGAATAAATCTAAC